CAGAATTCTGAATATCTGCCAATGGACTACTTCGTTTTCAAGACAGGGTGTGTGTCCCAGATGACAGTGAGTTAAAAAGGGACATCATGACAGAGTCCCATAGCTCGAAGTTTGCCATGCATCCAGGAAGCACCAAAATGTACCAAAGCATGCGACCCCGGTTTTGGTGGCATGGGATGAAGAGAGACATAACTGACTTTGTATCTAAATGTTTGGTATGTCAGCAGGTCAAGGCAGAGCATCAGCGCCCAAGTGGGTTACTTCAGCCTTTACCGATTCCGGAGTGGAAATGGGAACATATCACCATGGACTTCGTATCGGGGCTACCCAAGGCGCGTTCAGGAGCCATATGGGTAATCGTTGACCGACTTACCAAGTCTTCCCACTTCCTAGTCATCAGGATGACCGATTCATTGGACAAGTTGGTAAGGATGTATATCCGGGAGATAGTCAGATTGCATGGGGTTCCAGTGACAGTAGTATCCGACAGCGATCCCAGGTTCACCTCTCGATTTTAGAGTAGCTTCCAGCAAGTTATGAGAACAAAGCTGTCTCTTAGTACTGCCTTCCATCCCCAGACTAATGGATAATCAGAGAGGATAATTCGTACGCTTGAGGATATACTCCGAGCTTGTGTTCTTGACTCCGGGGGCCATTGGGACGACCATCTACCCCTGATAGAGTTTGCCTATAACAACAGCTTCCAAGCAAGTATCGGCATGGCTCCATATGAGGCGCTATATGGGCGCCCGTGTAGGTCACCGATTTGTTGGGAGGAAGTGGGCGATAGAAGATTGTTCGACCCAGAGTTGGTAGAGGAGACCACATCCAAGATAGTTAAAATCAAGAAGAATATTCAGACAGCTCAGAGTAGGCAGAAGAGTTATGCAGATATCCGGAGGAGAGACCTAGCGTTTGAGAAAGGCGACCGTGTGTTTCTTAAGGTCACTCCTTTTAAGGGAATTAGTAAGTTCGGCATGAGGGAAAAATTAAACCCCCGATATATTGGACCCTGTGAAATCTTAGATAAGATTGGTACCGCTGCCTACAGACTAGCATTGCCTCCCGAGCTCTCCAGAGTCCACAATGTGTTTCACGTATCTATGCTACGTAAGTACAACCCGGACCCTTCTCATGTCTTGGCTCATGAACCGCTTCCACTCCAAGAGGACTTGTCTTATGAAGAAGTACCGGTCGGTATCACGGACCGAAAGAGCAGAATACTCCGCAACCGGGAAATATGATTTGTAAAGGTCGTGTGGCAGAACCACACGCCCAGGGAGGCTACTTGGGAGCTGGAATCAGAATTTAGAGCCCAGTATCCCCATTTGTTCGACCAAGAGTAAGAGGCAAATTTGGGGGACCAAATTTCTTTAAGGGGGGGAGAGTTGTAACACCCATTATTATTATTATTATTATTATTAATTTTTAATTTATTTTATTTAGTTTATTTTGTAATTATTGAAATTTTAATTGATTTTTTTTAATTTAATTTAATTTAATGAAAATAAAAATAATAATAATGATAAAATTGGGTAAAAATATTATTTAGATTTAATTGAAATTAATTTTGAGAAAAATGGGTAAAAATTTGGATTCTGGGGGTATTTTTGAAAAGAAAATCGAAAACCGGGAGTCAAAACGTAATTTAAAAAAATTATGACACGCCAGCACCACGTCAGCAGCCACGTCAGCGGCACGGTCAGCAGCCCCGGCCAACCAGGATGTGCCGCGTGGCAAGGACACGCTGACCAGGGGACAGGCCACGAGGGCGATCCGCGTGCGCGCGATCGGACGGCCTAGATCCGTTCCCGCGCACACGGATGACCCAGATCAAACGTGTGCACGGACGGCCCAGATTCACAAGCACGGACAACCCAGATTCACGCGCACGGACGGCCCAGATTGCATCGCGATGAACGGCCCAGATTTAATCCCAATGAAATCGCAATCGAACGGCCCAGATTCAATCTTGATGGACGGTCAAGATTAAAAGGCGAAGGGTATAAATACCCCCACCCACACCTGACCAAAGAAACCCTAGCCACCAGTGCTCGCCGGAGAGCCACCGCACCCGAGAGCACCGCCGCCGGTAAGCTTCGATTTTTCGTGATTTTTTGGCCCAACGAGGGCCCTAGAGTTGTTTTATCGCAGTGACCGATGCAAGTGTGGCTGAATTCGGCCGAAAACGGCCAACCCGAGGCGAATCGCCGCCCTTGTCGTCGGAGCACGGCGGAGCCGCTGTGCCGGAATTGCGATATTGGTCGAAAGGGGCCCTAGGTCTAATTTGGGATTTTTTTGGGACACTTGCAGGTACTAGTAGTGCGTTTCAGCTCCCCGGAAAAAATTCAGGGAAAATTAGAGACAGCCTGTAGGCGCACTGTAGAGCGTATCAGACCTCGAAACAAGTAAGCACCCCTCACCCTATTTTCCATCACGGTATTAAAGTTCAATAAATGATAAAACGGTATTTCATGAATCAATAGATGTGTGAAATTGTTTAAGGTCACTAATGGAGTCCGAGTCTGGTGTATTTGTAGGTCAGTCGTTGTTTGTTCTATTTCACAGTTCTAAATGCAGTATGATGTCTAGTATTTTCATTTCATAGTTTTGTGTGCATATATCACTGTTTCATTGATTATGGGTTGAATGACTGAGAACCCGATGTTGTGTGTTGCCTTTTTTGGCATAAACTACGGATTTGCATGTTTGTGTGTGATTTGATGATGGTGACTGAGGAAAAAAGAATAAAAGGTTACGTGCATTGATAAATGGATAATGTGGACAGCCTGACTAGATATCCTGGGAGATGGTAGACGGACCGGGTCCGTAGGGAACCCTACCGGGAACGTGGTCTCTCATACCGGACAGGGTATAGAGACCTTCGGTGTTTTGGCGCCCATACCGGACGAGGTATGGGGACGGCCCGTTTCACCCTCATACCGGACGGGGTATTAAGGTTCATGATTTTGGTGCCCATACCGGACGGGGTATGGGGATGGCTCTGGAATCAGGTTATAAATGTTAAGGGTTCACGGGTAGTGGAACCTCTATGGATCCCCATGGATACTAGTAGGCTGATAAATGAGGAAAATATATTGTGTAATGATTGGAATGCAAAAGCGTGGTAAGTATTATGTTATACAGTTCATATGATTTTATAATGATGATAATGTTATTGCTTTCGTATGTTGTTTTATGGATCTCACCGAGGTAAGTGGACAGTAAAGGATTTTATTATTGATAAAAGAATTTGTTATAAATTATGCTCCATTGGTCTTTTTGTGTTTTCTACTCACCTTTACCTCCGTGGCGGTGAGATAGTGTGATGTTTTTACTGGGCTGGTGTAGCTCACTCCTTATTTAACTATTTCAGATCAAGAAGACATTGTTCCCGAGCCCGTTCCGCAGGATGACGGCGAAGGGGACGCCTAAAGACTCCGTAGTTATATTTATAGTTTTTATTTTCGAGTTTCTCTTTTAGTTAGTTTGTTCTTTTATACTTTGAGCACGTTTTTTATTTTAGTGTAAGGGATGTTAATCAAATTTTTATTACGTTTCCGCATTTGACATTTTTAATACACGTATTTCATTTTAAATTTTCGGGACCGTTACATAGGTAATGTAGTAATAATAGAGTGACGTAGTGGTAATAGTTATGTCAATAATGACAACAACAATAACATCAGTAATAGTAGTAGAAGTTGCGATAATAATAATAATAAAAATAAGATAATAGTATTAAAAATAAAAAAAAAATGATGATGGTAACAATGAGTTACTAGTGGTAACAGTAACAATGATATTATAAGAAATAATTGTAAAATATTAACTTTAATGTCACTTTGTGATCCTCACTAATGAATGTATTTGTGGGTAATTTACATCATTTTTATTGAAAATTAATTCATTTTACTAAATAGATAACACATATATATTAATGATCATAGAACATTTTACGAAAGGTATATAACACAATATTTTTTAAAAAAAAACACAAAATTTACAACTCATGACGTGAAACTTATATCTTTGTAAACATTCTCAACATCTTCATCAAGGCCACATCTCATAATTACATATCACAATCAAAAATTTTAAGACTTTATTAATTTGGACCAACGAATTTAACAATATTTTTTTATCTAAACTATTAATTTTTTAAAAGTTTAAGTTTGAATCGTTGATAAAATATAATTTAATCTTTCATATAAAACTCAATAATTATACACTATTTCAATATAGAATTGAGATACAAGAAATCTAGTGTGCTCTAGTCCATTCGGTAAAATACGCCTTTGACCCCTATTGAAGTTGTTGATCGTAGGCGAGCATCACCATATTTACCTTCCATTCTGAAAATTAAAACTAATACTTGATTTTTATATTGGGCTCCCAAGCAATAAATGATAATTTATAAAATAAAATTGTCCGTATATTATTCAACATGTCAACATTGCCAATAAAATATTTATTCTAACAACAAATTCACCAAATAGAACAACCAAAACGATTATTGTAATTACTAAAATGACAAGTCAATAAAGACAAATTTACTTTTTCCAAATAAAGTCAACACGACTTTATAGAAAGAGTCAAATATTACATTCTTCAAAGCTTTAAACTTTATTGAAAAGGAAGAAATAACTTTTTACTGATCGCAACTTTTAGGATTTCTAATTGTTTTGCAAATAAAAGAAAATGGAACAAACTAAAGGAATCCAAAATGGTATAATTAAATCTATCGTATCTAGTTGTGTAAATCGGATTGCCTTTGTGGCTGAGCATCACTTCTCTAGGCTGTATTACTCATAATAATGCCTAACATGGATAAACAAACAAGCTGCTTAAAAATACATAGATACCATCCATACAGTTATTACACCTGCAATCTGGTTTGAAAGGAAAATCAACATCCAGAATGCATATACAAACAACCCACAAAACAAGATCAATATGTCAATAGCACCCAAATTTGCCTGACAACTCATGAAAATTGGTTCCTCCTTAACAAAATTAACCAGGGCCAACTTTGGGAATGTCATAATGCTCGCTCATGTTTGCTAGATACTGGTTAAAGTCTTGAATCCGATCCCGGTGAGATTTATTAGCTTCCTTTGCTAACCTATGCACATCAAGTTGCTGTTTCTGCTCTATGTATCGTCTCTCTGCAGGTGTCAGGTGGTCATCATATGGAGCAGCTTTCATATCCCCACTTGATTTGTTAGCATCATCTTCTTCCTCGTTATGATCAGCTGATGCATCTGCACTTCCACCTAAACAAGATAATATATCAAATGACAGATACTCCTGAAACAAAAAAAAAATGCAATAGAACTAAAACAGCTAGATTAGAAAGACAACCCTCAATAACAAAATCTTTAGATGATCCCTAAAATAGCCACAGCGGCATCTCACAAGTCATCACTAAGGCTGAAATCATTTACTAATAGATAACATTTGAGTACTGAATGTAATTGTGGAGTAACCAAACAACTAGAAAGACAAAGGTGGCAATATTGGCTCAGGAATTACAAGTATTAAACTTTCTTATCACAGTGACATGCTATTGGCTTGAACACTATATAGCTGGTTTAGTTGTATCCTAGAACAGCCATGTTTCTTTTTGAGATATAAGACAAACTCTTGCTTTTGAACACAAAATTAGAACTTTTTAACCACTTCTAATTCTCTGAAACCTGCAGGTAATACAACTACACTGATAAATGCAAGTCTGATCCACGAGCAATAAAAGACATATTTCTAGTGGTCATATGTAGTTTTCTCAACAAAATAAAAACAGAAGACAGCCAGTTCCTCAAAAAACAAAAGAACACCCCATATTACCTTGCTTACTTCAGTTTCACCGATTTTGGCTTATTCTATGTAATAACTGAATGAATCACTGACTCCTCTCATCACTTCTCTATGAAATTTAAATAAACATCTTAATTTATCAAAAAAAATTCCTCTCTATATGCATTTTTATTATAACCAAAACCACCACCAAAAACCAACAAGGATATTCACCAACCAGCAGCTGCTGGTGATAACTGGCAATCATGAATAGACCAATCCAATTGCAACTGGTCATCCAAATCCAGTCATGATCAAACCAGTCACAACTGGTGGTTGCGAGAGTAAAAAGGTTGCTGAACAGGCAATCAATTCCTCAAATTTTATATTTTATTTTATTTTTTAACAAAAATATTTTTTTTTAATTTTTGTCTATTACAAATTACTATTTATTATTATAATAATTTATGTCATCCATTATCGTTCGATCAAATTACCATTTTAACTCCAAAACTATTATAGGTCATGTAGCAACTTGTCTCAACTTCTTTCATTAACTTCCATTCCTCAAAATTATGAAATTGTTTCAAAATTGTTTCAAAACAGAGAAACTTTTGATAGAAAGGGCAGGTACTCTTGTTTGTTCAGGTGAAACACCCAAAAAAAAAATGGTTTAGAAGGCCTGTTAAATGTGAATAAGGGCATAAAAAAAATCACTAGGAAAAATAAATTACATTGAAACAAAGAGGAAAAATATTTTTTTTACAAAAAAAAAAAAGAATGCAAAAGAAGAAGGTTTTATTTTTTAGAAAAAAGAGAACAGAAGAAATAATTTTGTTTGACATAAATTGTGTGTATTTCAAGTCATTTTCTTGTGTCTCCCCAATAAAGCAGAAATAACTTCAATGTTTCTGTCGAAAATTTTACAGTGGCATTTAAAATTACAATAGTTTTGGACACCAATTTTAGGATGGTCCATTATTAAGTCATTATTTAAAAAATGACTTAAAAGGTACTTGCCATTACTATCTTCTTATTATATAAATCATCATTACTTCAAAAATAATTTTGATATTTTATTCTCATACCTCTTTTGAAAATTTAAGTTCTCCAACAAAAAATATAATTAAGTCATATATTAAAGTAAAATTTATCAACTAAGACCATAGACGGTAAAGCTTCAGAAGTTTAAACCAAATAAATTATACCATTCGTGTATCCCCGGGGATCGGGTCCAGAGGTATATGTATGCATGTAGTATGTACATATTTATGATGATCAAAATATGCAAAAACATGCTCTACATAGCCTGGAAGGAAGAAGATGACCTCCTGAAAGGAAAAAAAAAAAGAAAAGGGATAAGATAAACCAACCTGCTGACAGCTCATTATTGAGGACTTGAGCAGCCTGATCTTCATGCTTCTTATGTTTCTTTTTCTTCTTTATACCACCAGCTTTCACATCCAAGGCTTTTCCCTTTAGCTTCAACTTCCCACCAACAACATTCTCGTATCCTGACATCTGGTCAGGAAGAAACACAAATTATGTCAATGTTCGGAAATCTATAGAAGAGAAAGATACATTACAGTTGATTGAAAAGATTAGCAATATCAAATTTCTTCTTTTCAATCTAAAAGCCAAGGCTATTTATGACTAAGAAAGAAATGGAAGAATGAAACCAATTAATAGTTTCTCCATCAGAAAAATCAGAACCGTTCAATTTTACACACACCAAGGCTAATAATGGAACATGAATAATCTCAGGATGTATATTTGACAAGTGAACCTCACTGCAAGAAAATATTTTTTTTTTTTGCGCAGAAAGATTTTTGACATTTAGCCAACAAATATTCTTTGCTCTGAAAATTCTTAGCCTTTTCAATTATGAAATATCTTAAAAGGTGTTTAGCTCACCTTGTTTTGTAGGAAATTAACAGCATATAAGCTAATATTTTAAAAAAAATTCTTTACATGTTTAATAAATATATGACTTAAAGAATAAAATTAATTAAGTCTTCTGATTGAACAACATAGCATTTTCAAATAGCTTATAAACCTAAACAAATAGAAATTTAGGGGCGAACAGCATAATAAAAATATTATTGCAAAAACTCATAAGATATCTGACTTATTAGCTATTGGTTATTTACCAACTGCCTACATATAACTCAATAAGCATGACCAGCTGTCATCTCTAGTCCTTAACCACAAAAATTATCGAATCAGATACTTGAATTGATACCGATACCAAACACTTGTACCCAAGTCAAAGTAATATAGCTAATTTCGTAGTCTTGATCCTAAATTGTTCAATTAATATCAAGGACTTCAAGTCAATTAGCTTGATGTGTGTTCAAACTCATGTCCAACGTCCTTGATATTAATGAGAACCTATTCCTCAGCGGATTGCATACTAAAATGTTCAATTGCAGATAATGACTTTGACCTTTAAATTCGGACCTATAATAAAGAAAGAGCATTCTGCCAGGTTCAGATATTACGGTCACTGAACCAAAAAAAAAAAGAACAAACCGAACTGAAAATTCGCTTAGCCGAAACTGGCCCAATAATATATGGAAATCGAAAACCTTGGATAGGTTAGGTTATTTATGAGAAAAAGAAATTCTACATGCATGCCGAAAAATATACAAAAACTGTAAATATATAAATCAAAGCAGAAAGATTGTAAGAAACTACTATTATTGATTAAGAAAAATTAAAAACCTTAATGCACTGTGTATGTTGTCGGCTGCCTTCCTGTGAGAGAAACTTAGCAGAAAGGAATGCAGACTACCGCGCAGGAAAAGAAGCTAGTGAAAGAGAATCAAGGTGCGAGTGATGAGTAGACGAGTAGGAGGATAAAGCACTGAGGGAAAGCGCGAGTTGTGCGAGAGAAGAAGGGAGCGAGTTTGAAGGAACCGGTGAATAAATTAGCGATTTCCTCCGTTAATTTTCCGGTAAAGACCGATGGCCGCGGTTATTGCCACACCGATGGCCGGCAGGGAGCGGCCGTTGAAGGGGGGGAGTTGGGGATTAGGGAACTGGAGGTTAGGGCACAGGTAAGATGGGAAGGGAGAGATAGGAATGGGAGTTAATAGGGGCGCGAGTTGGATTCGCTTGAAGAAGGGAAATTCTCTCTCTCTCTCTCTCTCTCTCTATATATATATATATGCATGTAGACTAGTTTCCAGACCCGAAGACGGACTATCCGTTTTGTTTTTAATTTATATATATTATAATGTAATTATCTTAAAATAATAAAAATAAAACATATAATTAAAGCATAAATTTTAAATTACTCTATAATACTTTTAAATATTTTAATTTGTTTATATATATATATATATTTTGCTATTTTGATAATTCCGTTTTCAAAAGATAATTGTATTAACCTATAATTTACCTTTTTCTTTCATTTTTATTATTTTATTTTTTATATTACTATATTTTTACAATAATAAAAAAATAAAAATTATACTTCTGCATCTTCTTCCTCAACATCATTCAACATTCATCTTCTTCATTTCTCCTCACTATAAACACCATTCAACATAATTATAGTCTTAATTATAATTAAGGTTGAGGAAGAAGATAAATAATAATAATTTTCACTTAGACCCAAATTTTAATTTTAGTTCTAATTTTTTTTTACCCTAAATCCATATGTCGACTTGTTTTTTTTTTTTTTTTTCTCGTAACAAAAGTTAAGTCTAACAAATAATTGTATAATTTCAAATATTAAAATAAAATAAAATAAGCACTTATAACCAAATTGTATAGTGAATTATATTTCGAGAACTATATTGGCAAATTAGTAATTTGCTCATGTATTCATTAAATATAATAGTATGTATAAGTTAAACAATTTATGTGACTAATTTATTTTAATTTAATTGATCAATTTTTTTAGTGATTTTAATAAGCTATTAATTATTCTAATACATACTAAGTTATTTTAAGTAAATACATAAATCAAAAAATTACTTTTGATATATATTTTTTTTTAATAATCCAATTTACGATTACTAATATACATATATTTAATTCTAAAATATTTAATAATTATTAAAATTAATTAAATTTATATTATGTTATCACTTACTTGTATGAATGCTGACATATAAATTTTTTTATTTCATGTGACGATCAATGTACATGTACTAGTTTTTTATGCCAGTTTTTCATTTTATGATTTGAAAACTGTTAATTATTTTTAGTTGATTAATAATTAAATTACCAACAATTAATACACAAAAGCTAATGTTAAACCAATCAACAGAGTAGCTAATAAGTTAAAAAGTTTACCGTAAGATTTTTTTTAATAAAAATGCTTTTGAATTTAATGATATAAAAATTAAAATTTTAATAAAATATAAACTAATATCGTTAATAGGACAAAAAAAAATATATACACATAAAAATTAAATTTAAGTTTAAAAAAGAAAAGAAAATTATAAGAGAGATTAATACTAAAAATTAAAAACAATGTTCTATGAAAATCAAAACATAATAAAAGAGTATAGTTATAGTAAGAACTTCAGGGAAGAATACGTTTGATATTCCAAAACCAAGATTTCCTAAATCAGAAAAAAAATTAACTTAATTAGCCACTGAGAGCAACTCAAATCAGAAAACTTTTTACCTCAATTCAACACTAGTACTGATACATCTAAATCCCCAAGCTGATTCAAGATGGGAGCCGGATTTTCGATTAAACACAAATCTCAGTAAATGCCAGGAATGATTTTGTAGCGAACCTTCTCGCAATATAGTTTCCAGTACTTTCCATACCTGAAATAATAAGACCATAAAAAGATCCATTAACTCGACAACAACCTCCACCGAATATTCAGTCATAGAACTAAGCAGTTTATTTGTAAACACCATTAAAGCTATAATTTACAAGCTCAAGCAAAGCTAAACACCCTCAGACAATTTAGTTAGTGTGTGGGGAAGTCACTAGTTTCCTTTGTCAAGCTGGCAAAACTAGCAAAAGAAAAGCTGCCATGACAAACTCTCGAAGGTAGTCAAGTGGAGGAATTAGTTACAGGAATAGTTCAATGACTCCGAAAGTTCATAATCGAGATGTATGAGACCATGGATTTGAGGCTGGCAGCGAAAAGGGTAAACTAGCAGAAAAAAACATCAAACAGCAGATGCTGGTGGTAAAACAATGTGATCCTTGATGGCCACACAGCATGCACTTGCACCTTTTCCAACCCCTCCTGGACAGGTACTGTCCCCTCCAACACCCTTTTGCCTTCTAGAAGGATATACTACATACACCTAGATTGAGAGAAAATGGAAATGGCAATAACACTCAAGGATCTTGATCAATATTTTAGGACAAAACACTCATAGGATTCGCATTTTCAGTATTTGGAGGAACTAATCCAAAATCGTGGATAAGGAGATGCAACGAATATTTTCAGATGGAATTCCTAATGAGCAGAGAATGAAGTTAGCCACCTATTCTTGGGAGAGAAGGCTGACACATGGCACCAAGGGTGGCAAGCACACATGGGGTCATATAGTGGGCCATTTTTAAAGAGTGCGTTTTGGGAAGTACATCTTTTGGAATCCGACAGGGCTGACATGGTACAACATCCAAGAAACCTAAGCAAGAGAGCACTATTGTTGAATACCAATGGAAGTTTGAAGAGTTAAATCAGTCATATTCAGAAATAATCCTCATTTCAGTGAAGCTCTCTATCAAGCTTCATTAGCGGGTTGAGTGAGGGACTAAGAGTAATGAGCAAGTTGTACAAACCAAAATCACTCAACATAGCCTATGAGCAAGCCAAATTGCAGTGCTAAGATATTGAAGCAATGCTGAAATGCCAAAGGAGTGGAAGCAGACCCTTTTATCATGCACTCAAAACTCCAACAGACCCACGCGACTCAGCATCTAATCCCAACAAGAGGAACTTAAAAGACTGAGCACCAACCCAGGACAACCCGACCAAACCACCCCATGGAAAGGCCAAAAGATCAGACAATGTTTGCTATAAATGTGGATATTGATATTTTTCACGTCACCAGTGTAAAGCTAAACAGCTAATGGTGTTGGAAATCACTGAAGGAGAGAAAGATGAGTTTGCGGATAAAGGTGACCATCCTGAGGAGGTTGAGCCAACGAAGGACATGGGATAAATATACCTATTATTCTTTGGAAAGCCAAGAAAAGGAAAATAAAATCAAAGTCTGGGGAGTATTGGACTCTATACTCGTACTTATCTTGACATGCAATTTCAGTACAAATACCTTCATGCGTAACAAAGTAATCGAGTGTCACAATGTTCGACTCATCAAGACCCTTCTCTTGAATGTCCTAGACGCAAAGGGTCACAAGATGCTGAGTTAGGACAAAATGTGGTTCAATTGCTCGTTCCGCGAACTGAATTTGGGTATGATGTAATTCTTGAACTGACTGGATAGGGAGGCACAATCTCATGTCCTTTGATTCTGTTAAGACATAAGTGGAATTGATGAAAGACCAACCAGAGTTGGTCATCCAAGGAGTAATAATCGATGACTACATCAAGCCTTTGTCAGGAAAAGTTTAAACAAGATGGTGCGAAAGGAATAGTGGGGAGTTAGCAATGCCCTGTACTCTCTGGAGTATGAACAAACTGAAACAAAGAAGTACAAGGACCCAAAAGAACTTAATCTAGGCAGGAGGCCTTGCAGACGCTGATCTAGCAGTACCATGACATCTTCGAGGAACCAGATTCCCTACCCTTAGAGAGAAAAGGACTATCTCTCTACTACTCTGGACCTCACCTGTAAATGTGAGACCACACCAATATCTCTATTTCCAGAAGACAGAATTTGAAAAGCAAAAATCCAAATGCTTGACAACTCATTCATTCAACGAGCTACAGTCCATTTGCTTCACTGGTGCTCCTACTGAAAAAGAACGATGGAGTGAGAAGTTCCACGTGGATTATAGACAACTTAATGCTATCACCTTGAACCATTCCTATGATTAATGACTTGCTCGATGAACCGTATAAAACAACAATTTTTTTCAAGGTGGACTTAAGAGGAGGTTATCATCATATCAAAGTCAAATTAGAGGACGCGTACAAGACAATCTTCAGAACACACCACATGCATTTTGGATTAAAGGTTAATGCCTTTCTGCCTCACCATTTCCTCAGCCACTTTTCAATCATTTATCAACTGTATTTTCAAGCTTCAATGAAGAAATGTGTTTTTGTTTTTGATAAAATCCTAGAATAAAAGTTGTACACTTGGTCACCACTTAACACATTTAAAGTTTTTTGTTTTTGATAAAATCCTAGAATAAAAGTTGGACACTTGGTCACCACTTAACACATTTAAAGACTATGTTTGAAGTCCTATGACAAAATCAATTATTTGCAAGGGAGTCCAAATGTTGTTTCAGACAAAAGCAAGTAGATATATGAGGCATTTGATTTCAGGTGAGAAAGTGAGAACAGGTCTAAAAGAAATTGAAGCAATGTTGTCTTTTACGAGACCAACCAACACCAAGGCTTTAAGAAATTCTTGGGCCTCCAAGATGCTACTGCAAGCTTATGAGACTATAGAAGTAGTAGCCAACTATTAACAGAATTTTCTAAAAAGAAGCATCCGATGGACCCTTGAAGTAGAAGAAGCATTGGAGAAACTGAGGAAGGCGATGACCACCACCCATGTCTTAGCTGTCCTGGACTTCTTTCAGCCTTGCTTAGGTCCTGAGTTTAACACACCAGTCACTGTTCATCCATGAAACTTGGATGTTAGCAATCCTCATGACCATCACCAAATGGAGACACTACTTAAAACAGACCTCTTTCACTATCAAGACAGATCAACAAAGCATCAAGCACCTGCTTGAGCAACAGGCTCACACATTCATGCAATAAAAAGATATTGTGAAACTGTTGGGACTCAATTACATGATCCGGTATAAGAAGGAAAGAAAAATGGAATGGTTGACATATTGACAAGGGAGCTCAACAATGAAGGAGAACTTACAGGAGTTACTGCAATAACACATCATTCTCAGGTGCAGGAGTTCCAACATTCTTATCTCAATGATGATGAGGTAAGCTCCTCATTTAGTTGTCCATAACCCAACACAGAAACCCAAATACTCTTATGAACAGGGATACTAAGATACAAAGCAAGGCTCTACATTGAGAGAACAATTGCTTCAAGCTAATCATGATTCCCAATCAGGAGGTCGCTCTATAATAAGATGCATCTAGAATAGACTCAAATAGAATCTCTTTTGGCCTAAAATGAAACATCAAGTCATTGAGTGGATTAAGAAGTGAGACATTTGCCAAAGGTGCAAAGGAGAGCATGTTCAACACTTAGGCCTACTTCAACCCTAAGCTCTTTAAGCAATTACCAAAATCTAAAGGGAAAGACAAAATCTTGGTGATAGTTGATAGGTACGCCAAATATGACTATCTCTTAGCCTTGGCACACCCATCCACAACCCACAAGGTAGCTACGCTCTTCCCCGACAACATACATAAATTGCACGACATGCTTTGCTCAATCGTGATAGACAAAGATAAGCTCTTTTTCTCTGTTTTCTGGCAAAAGTTGATGAGACTGATGGGAATCAATTGCACCTGAGTATAACCTACCATCCCCACACAGATGGCCAAACAAAGAGGGTAAACCAATGTTTGGAAAATTATCTACATTACATGGTATTTAGCAAACCACACTCATGGGGAAGATGGCTTAGCTTGGCTGAATGGTAGTATAATAGTACCTGTGACACTAGCTTAAACATGCGTCTCTTTTCAGCTTGTATGGCCATCCTCCAAACATAATGGAAGGAAAGAGGTTGGGTGATGACAGTGACTAGCGTAGGATGAAGGAGAAGCAGGAAATGAATCGATCACAGAGAGAGCAACTGTTGGGATCTAAGAATGGAATGAAGAAATTTGCAGACATGAAGATTGTCATAAAAGGCAGGAGAGTGACTTAGTTCCATTTAAACTACAGCCCCACTAACAGTCCCATAGCTTTCATGAGGTACGTGAAGCTAGCTCCAAAGTTTTATGAACCCTTAAAGATAGACAAGAAGGTTGATTCGGTGGCTTACAAGCTAATTCTAGAAATGGATTCAATGATTCATCCAGTCTTTCATGACTCAATGCCAAAGAAGTATGGATGAGATTTACCCCACTTCCACAGCAGATTAACTGTTATTGACTCCCATTTTGCAAAGAATAGTCATAAGCTACCATAATAAGCTTGTGAAGCAAGTCCTAGTTCCCTGGCTCAACATGGCCCCTGAAGAAACCACATGGGAAGACTGCCCATTCCTAAAGGGGCAATTTACACATTTGAACCTTGAGGACAGGGTCGCTATGCAAGAAGGGGAGATGCAAGGCCTTGAAAATGGCATTGTAAGGAAGATAGAAGATTAAGATTTCTTTTAATTTTTTTTTCTGTTTTTTGTTAATGCTAGCTGTTGGAATAATGGAATATGTTTGACAATGTGAGCTAGAATGCTACCTCTGGTTGTACCTAGCGGCAAGTTAGTGATTTGTTAACCATTAGCTGAGTAGTATAAATTCTTCGAACATGATTGTAAGCACAAACGTGCATTTTGAGTGGAATCTATTTCCCATTGTGCATCACTCTCTCCTTCCTTAACTCTTTCTTCTCCTATCTCTCTTCTTCCGCTGTTCTACCTCATTTGCAATTCTCCTAACCTTATGCCAGATTGATTCATTCATACTGTGAATGAGTCATCTTATTGACATATTTAGTTTTGATTTTGATGAATAACCAAACATAGTTTTATTACTAACAAATGTTTGTAGTTGAAGAAGCTTTTGTAGTAAAATTCAAGTTTTGAGTATCAAGAATGAAGAATTCATAATTTAGGGAAAAGATCAAGGAATTTCAAGCTTCGAATTTCAAGAATGAAAAATCCATTATTTGAAGTAAAAGTTAAGGAGAATAGGAAGCTTTTAAAATTTTAAGACAAAAGTTGTGTTCATAAATAGGTAAATTCAAGTTGACTCAAGTCTAAGATGAATTTAAATTATAAAGATAAATAATCTTTAAAAAGATTTTTTTAATTGCTAAAAAGATGGTTTTTGATTAAAAATTTAATTTAATTTATAGAATCTCAAAAAACGATTTTTGATATTTAAAATAAAAATTCTGAATTTTTTCAGAATCTCGAAAAAGAAACTTTGATATCTAAAAAAGGTAAAATGAATTTGGAATCTTTAGCAAATTAAACCTCAATATTTTGGTATTTTTAACAAATGATTTATGGCGTCAAAATCTGGGTAAACTTGGTACTTTTGATAAATAGATTTTGGTAATTCTGAAGTCAAAGATCTTTAAATCGAATTTTTGAACCTTGGATTTATGAGATTTAAATAATCTTTGAAAGGAAAAATATGTCTAATTGATTTTACAATATTTTGCATAGAAAACATTCTAAAATGAAATTCAAAATCACAAGAAAACTGCAAACATTAAATTTAAATTTTTCAGTGGATGTGTCACAATGGATGTGTTGTGGCATTGGATTAGGAGAGTTTCTGGGGTTAAAACTGAGCAATTCCAATTTCATAAAAAAGAATAGCATCACCTAAGTGAGAAATCATTACAGAATTACTAGCTCCACACAAGAGAACTACCGAAGAAGGTTGTCTGACCTGAGAAAACCTTCCGATCCTGCAAACAACCATTCATCTCCAACTGGAGAGGCCTTCTAGTTGTCGGGATAAACTGGTTTCATCAACATCTCCTTTCCATTGGCAAGGTTCAAACTACTCAGTGTGGATTGGCCAAAAAGAAAAAAGAAAATCCACCACTCATCAGCTTCAGTACCCTCCAGAAACATCCTCTTTTTCTGCTGGCTTCTTTCCTTTTACTGCCACCTTTCGGTTCTTATAGTTCCACAAACCCCTGTTCTTCCCGAGAGTAAGAAGATCAATTAACAATCTTCTCCTTTAAGGTTCCTACTCCGAGCTTTGTACCCTCACAACCATAGAAACAAAGAGATTTTCTTTTTACCACCATATCATCCAGCTTTCTCTTTACCGCCAGAAAATTTCTTCGCGGTTCAGCTGGCACACCTACTTCAACCAAGCAAGCTTGGCCAAGACCCATAGATGGAAGGAGAAAGGATTGAGATCTAAGAGAATCTCTCTAGACTCTGGACTAAAACATTATATGTATATATCGGGAAATAAGCAGGGAAATCATGTTCTAATCATCTCTATTAAGATGAATCTAAAAATTAATTAAGAACAGAACAAGAATTGAGCGAAATGGGCCATAAGTATTAAAGCAAAGATTTAGAAATGCTAGAATTTTTCTAAACCTCATTTCTTCCAAGCACACTTCTAATAGTGACGGAAAAAAGGTTCCACACAAATAATGAAGTTTGTAGTTGCTTACTTAGATCGGCATCGATCATCATCCCTTTTGGCTCGGTCGAAAAGAAGGATAGTAAGAAACACCACATAGAAATATGGCAAAGCCTGAACCAAAGCAACTAACATTTCAGCAACAGTCTCCCAAGAATTGCAATTCATTAAATGATAGACATGCTTACATGGTTGAAGAGACCTGGGACAGTCCAGAAGAAGGCAGCTAATATTTCAGGTACGTAATGGAAATGACGAGACAAACCCCACCTGCAAAATGTTGATTTAAACTGTACTATCTATATACAACATTATGAAGCATCTTATTGTTGCTGAGAAACCACATTGCTTAGCAGATATAAAAGCCACAAACACCAAATTTAACCAGAAATCTGACATTTCTTGAGCTGAGTGAGGTCCTTTTTAAGCCAATTCAGTTGTTATTATTTCATGGCCTGATTTATAATATAAACCTCGAAAGCTCACCATCCTGATGTTAGAAGAAGGCTGGTTTTAGTTTCTCCGGAACCTGTAGTATATGACGCCACTATCTGTAAGAAGAATAACTCCAGGTTATTTCGAAAAGTTGATCCTATGGCTCAAGAATTAAGATTAGTTAAATTTTTTCATAAAATACGAGCAAATATTTGTAACCTGCTTCTGATCTCCTCCCATTGTCAAGACAACACATGTCAACAATTCCCAATTGCTCATAGATTTGACTCAGAACTTGAAAATAATTATGGTAGTTCTAGATTAACATAGACGTGGCCCCTCTTAACTTCATTCTCCATTTGTAGTGAAACTTATTCCATCCCAGTTTTTTTTTTTTTTTTTTGAGTATGTTCAGTTAATCATCACTTATCTAGAGAAAAATGAAACTACATAGTAAATAATATGATCCTGATCACCTTTGATGGAGCTCTCCCCCAAATTAAGCACTTGCCATTTGTTCTGCGGAATTCCTGCCTTTGCCTGTCACAGTCATAGTTGATGTATATGCAAAGAATTCCAGCCACTAGAATATAAAGTGCAAGCTGGTAAAGAAACACGGTCACTTGTCAGAATAGAGTACTATACAAGGTAGACTTAAAGAAAATAAATAGAAAATTTCTCAAATGTTGGAAAACAAATAATGTCATTATACTCATCAGGCTACAGTTACTACTTTCTTTCCCTGCAGTCTATCCTTATCAAGGTCTTTTTAGAATAGTACAACCATTTTGCGTGCAAATACAAGTATATTTATGTACACAAATATATATATATATATATATATTTGATAGACGAAGTATTATAAGAAAGAGAGGAAGGTAGTGCAACTGTAAGAGTGAGACAGAGAGGATAAGGTATCTCAATCAAAAGATAAAAGACAATAAAACAAGGAAGAAAGTTTGAGACAAAATAGAAACCCAATCAATTTGCAAATTAGATAAATAACACCTGAGAAAAAAAAACACCTGACAATCAGAAGATTACTCTTGATTTCCCAGTTACATATGACTGCGAAAACCAAAGTGCGGGAAAGGTAAGACCAGAAAATGCAAATTGCAGTCAATGAGTGTGAAACTTGATAATCAGATGGTAGGTACGTGCTAGAATTACAAGCAACCCCAGGAAATATAAAATGCAGTTAGTTACTACTTTTCTATCAGTAAAATACAAAGAGGACATTGTCATACCTGAATTCCGAGATCCACAGGATGGTTAACTAGGTACATGCCAGGTGAAGTATACACAGAAGGAACCCATACCAAGCAGCCCCAGCAAATATAAAATCCAGCTGCCAAAGTCCATATATGCAATAAGACAAGATGAATCAATAGCATTAGATTCGGAAAAAAAAAATCGGGTTTTAGACAAAAAATAAAAACAAGCAACAAGGAACAACCATATAAATTAGAATGATAGTATCAACTGCAACAACAAAACTTTGTCAAATGTGCCCCAGCCTCATTCGTCAACAATCTTTCATTTTGTATCTAAGTTAAATTTCATATAAAAATAAAACTCAAGATCTCTTTCTTATTTCTTGAGGAAAAAAAGAGTATTATAAAGAGGCACAAGGGAATGCTGTTAGTGTACATTACAGAAAATCAGAAATCGAAATTAGAACAAGCATAAAGTACAATGAAGTAGAGAAGAAGAAAAGAACATCCGCAGACCTCGATCATGCGCAATGTCCATTGTGTTCCAGTAACCAGCCTCCCACCAGAAAAATTTTGTGACATATACCAGCATCAATATTGTATTTACAAGCATGGAATCAGCTATTCTCCCATTTGTTTCATACTGTTCAAACAAAGTAAATGATGAAATTTTTGAGAAATCAAATCGAGAACTAGTTCAAAAAGAAAAAGGAAAATTGGATAAAACAATTGCACGGGCCAAGTAAACACCATTATTGCATTCATTTGACAGCCAATGAATGAAGTGAAATTGTAAATAAGTTCTAGTGCCAGAAAAGAAAACCATGCAACCTAAGTAGCACGATATGGTGTAAATTAGCAGCACCTTTGTATTTTAAATGCCTCATATTTAGAGAAATTACTGTTCATAAATTAATGCAAACAGGAAGATCTTGAAGAGGACATACTTCTATAGTAAGATATATCTATATAATTGTAATGTTTATGTATCATTAAGGTATTTAACTCATTTAAGAACTAGTACTTACAGGCATATTAATGACATAAGCTTATTATCTCCTATTTAGTTAGGATCTTATTTAAAACTAATATCTTATTTAGTTATTCTGCATCCTAGGTTATTCCAATTAAATAGCTTGTTTTCCTATTTAAAAGAAATATAGATAGATTTAAGAATTCATATTTTGATTTAATCTAGCACCTATAAATAGGGTAACCTAGTTTCACAATTTAGTATATTATATAAGTGATAATTATTCAAACATTAAGTTATTTATGAAGAAAGAAACAAGAAAATTTTTGATGATAATAAAGATACTTTTGTAAATATCAAGGATAGATGATTACATTATTTTGGCTCTATCCTTCTGGGTCGTAATTTATTATCTTTCGATGATATTGGAGCTATTATCGATATTCTCGTAGATATGTAATACTTTTGTACATGGGTGGTACCCCTTTGGTGCTCTTTTTTAATACATTTACTAACTTCTATCTAAAAAAAAACATTAAGTTATTTATTTAATTATTAAGGTTTTATATCTCTAATCTTGGTTCTTAATCAATTTTCTTTTAAGTTTTTCTGTTCAAGCTTTCTTTTTCCTACACGAATTGGTATTAGAGTAGACATCTGAACTTCACAAAAACATAACACTACTGCCAACAAAAACACTAAAATCCTAAATCAGCCACCATCAACAACAGTAGACAGAAACATCACAGTAACCGTAGGCAACTTGATTCTCCGCTACTAACAAGAGATGGTCAACCCTGCCCCTGTTGGCTTCAAACAGGTCCAATCAGCTTTTTTAGCGCAGCACTCTCCCCTTGAAGTTGTTTAACTGTTCCTTTGCCAAAAGCCATCCTTCTATGCTGCTAAGAGAGAAACAGACACGATATCCAAAGCCATGATTTCTAGTATAATCCCTCACCAGAAAATCAACATCGAAGAACAACCGGAACCTGGTGCATGCATATCACACACCAAGTACTGCATCTGTGAAATTATTTTTTGAAATAAAAAGTGTGAAATATTTATTACTTACATGCACCAAGGGGTGCAAAACCCATTTATAAAAGTATTTATATTTCAGTTAACAAATCAATTAAGTCACCAAAAGTCCCAAAGGAATACAAGTCTTGTTTCAAAATCAAAACACCAAGGGATTAGAACCATCTCTCTCTAATTCTGTCAGTGCCTTCTTCCACTCCCTCAAAGACTCTTCTATTCCTCTCTCTCTAGATAACCCAAAAAAGGGGCCAATGGTATGAGTCCCAAAACCTTCTTCCACTTCACCATATCCTTCCAAGCCCAAATCTCATCCTTGACCATGCCCACCAACACTCAATTATACTCCAAAAGCCCAAAAGCCATGAACCATAAATTGTAAGCGATAGGACACTGAAGAAGATGTGATCACAAGTCTCCTCCGCACTCTTGCACAGACAACACCAGTTTACCAAAATCTTTCCCCTCTTCATGAGTTTATCTATACTCAAAGGACTACCACGAGTAACCTCCCAAGCGAAGAAAGCAATTTTAGGAGGTGTATTTATTCTCCAAATCTGTTTAGACGGAAAATGTTCTTCAGCATTCACTCTCTTGGTAATGTGCTTATAGAAAGACCCCATAGTGAATTGATCTGTAGGACTTAGATTCCACAGGCCTCATTAAGAAACATAGAAGCTAAGACATTTAACAGTGATACATAATATTC